CTCTCTCTCTCTCTCTCTCTCTCTCATTGTTCTGTTGTATACAATGTATATACCTATTGCATAATATACACAAAACATAATATACAATATACAGTACATGTGAAGGAATGTAAGATTAATTTGCTTTTGCAATGAAAAGAGTAAATGAAATATAAATGACTTAAAAAGTAAAATATTTTTTATTTATTATTAAAATATACAAAAAATATTAGAAAAATGATTAAATAGTGAATTCTCTGCAACAAAACCAAATTGATGTTTGATTTATAGTATTGTTGGTCATAGAGAGTGAACGGTAGCGCACGTATAGTGTTGGCCACCGCTAGACCGCCCCTCCGGAGCCCATTTCGGCGAAACTGACAATTCAACAAAAAATACAAACCATTAAAAGTGATAAAATATGATTGAAATCCAAACAATATTTAGTGAAAGGAGTGAATTATCTCGCAGTTTGAATGTAACCCTCAATAGAGTTATAATTTGTCATAAATTATTGAATACACGAATGCATTGAAAATCATGTTGAATGCCATAAAAGGAATGGCTGTTAAGTGTAGTTATCATAAAAATCAAATACTTTTCAGATATAAATAATTAAAATATATTTTTTAAATGAACTTTTCGTTGAAATGTTATAATAAATGGAGAAATTATTTATAAATAAATATCAAATATATTATTTGCTGTGATAGTAGTTATCGTATAAAATTGAATATTCATATCGAGAGTATAGAGTTCTTCACAATTATTATTCATTACATTATTATGCAATTCAATGCATTCATAAGAAGTGTGTAAATGTTAGCACTTTTAACCAATTTTAAAACAAATATCACTTTTTCATTTAAATTGGAGGCAAAGATCTATATCTAGAAGACATGGGAACATGTCTTAAGAAATGGACGATTACTTGGCATTGGATGAGGCGGTCATCGCTTTGGAGCGTAGGAACAACTCTTCATTCTTCTGGAAGGCTTGCGGAGCATATCTGTTATAAAGACCCCAAACACTGTTCATATACTTTGAATTGTAATTGTGTTGAGATCTATCCGTATCTATAGATTCAATGTTTATTAGATAAAGAAAGTTTCAAAATTAAATTCACAAAATTGAATGTAAATTACATTTATTGTTAGGCATGTCTGCCGATTGGGTTCCGCCAAATGTTTTCTGTCGGTCCTTCTCTTGTTTAATAGTTTGATGGACTTTAATGGCGGAGAACGTTGTGAACGGTATGGAAGACATGACTAACTGCTTTTGAATGCAAATTATAATTAAAACAATTATTAAATAACCAAATATTGTTTCAATAGCTATAATACGCGACAAGTTTAATAAAAATCAGATTTTATGGTTTAATACAAGTATTGAGAATCAAAATGAATTAAATGCACAAAAATGGTTGAAAATGTTGAGAAAAAAGTTTGAACACAACACTTATCTTTAACTGTGTTTAACATAAACTCAAACCTAATGTGAAACTCAAAAACAAGAACTAGAGCTCAAGTTTTGTGAACACAGGTATCACCAAAAAAGTTTGCTTTCCATTTCAAAAATAGTTTTATATTTTATTGAGATATAAATCCAAAACGTGATTCAATGTATGTCTACAACTAGGGTTGGAAAATTACAAGGATTTTTTTGAGGCCATGTAATTTACATTGTAAAATACAAAAATGCACGTAATATACATGTCATTTTACTTACTATGGGGAAAAAATTAACGTATTTTTCCCCTTAAAATTGAACATTTTTATTGTAATTATGACATAATTATACATTTTAATCACTAATTATTTCACATCCGACAATTGAATCTGGTCCATTAATTAATTTTCGACAAAATTGCCGCAATTTTTATCATCGGTTTATGTAAAATAGTTCCAAATAATTGATTGTGGCTATTATTTAATCATTTATATCAATGATTATTTTTACAATAATAAACAAATAACAAGTGTGCAAACATTTTACCCAAGTTTTGTAAAAATATTTTAAAAATTTTACCAATTAATTTTTTTAATGATGTATTTTACAAAATGAAAAATATGTGCATGTAAAATACACCGTATAATACACTGTAAATTACATATGTAAAATACATGGTTTGTCATATTGCCAACCCTATCTACAACCCTATTGTCGGTACAATTGTTTCAATTGTTTCGCTTTTGTTTTACCAAAAATCATGATAAAAACGAACCAAAAGTAAACATCAAATAAGATTAGAAAATGTTTTTAAGAATATTTACTATTTTTAACATTCGGTTCAATAGAAAGCCATTAGAGATAAAATACCATATTTTTACAATTCATATTTAAATCTCACAAAAGACCTTCATATCATTGGGCTATGCTAATTAGTGGTCTAAAGTACATAACATGGTAATTGTTTATTCTACAATAATTGTATGTCCACCCCTTTGTTAAAATCATTTTAAATTTAAGTATGCATATTGTTCACATTATCAAAATTTTTGATAATGTAAACAATATGCATACTTAAATTTAAAATAGCATTGTTGTAATTTAATTATTATATAAATTCAGTATTTGTAATGTAAAGTTTATATTAAAGGAGGATGTGCATATCTGTAATGGGGATTGATAAAATCTGTAATGGGGATATAGGTTAGTTGGTTTTTAGAAATTTTTTACAAATTAAGAGCAATTTGTTGTATGACATTAAACTACGTCAAA